GATAGAACAATACAACACTAAAGCAGGTTTACAGGTTCACATCCCACTAAAGCCTACTTGTACTACAATGTTTGTAACTATGAGACATTATCGACTCCACCCACCTTCATGTAACATGTTGATGTGAGGTCCTGATGCTGCCACTCTATCACTGTATCCTTTGTTACAGGAACACTGATAGAGCCAATGGACAGCTTCACCACCATGCTCATCTTGAAAGCAACAAGCTCTTTTTTCAAGGGACATGTACTCCTTATTCTGTAATTTTTGGAATGTGCAAACAATTTTGTACAAGATGTTGTTACACTACATGTAGCTCTGTACAACAGTGTGCTCAAAAGGATTCGATGTGCTCGTGCCCAACCTTGAGAAGGTGGTATGACCTGTGGACAAACTAAAGAGAATCTACATGTAAAAGGCAAAATAAGCGGCTATATAAATCCCAAAAAATCCATCAATGGGTGCTGCATTCTATTAAGGACTGTGCAGTAGCAAAAAACAACAAGAGAGAAGTGCTGGCTGCTTATGAAACTTTTTTTAAGCTTCACCACGCGTTTGAACGCGTTTCCAGTCCTGTAGCATGTTTCATTTCGAAAATACAGCAATTTGAACTTCTGAGTTTTCACAGTGCATGACACCAAAATAGGAATGCTGTCTCGATGAAAAAAGTCTCTCCTCTTGATTTTTAGCAGTATAACCATTTCAAGTATATGTTTATGTGCACATATGCTAGTTTCCCAGTGAAAAGAAAGAGCTTTTATAGAAAAAGTGAACTCCAGATGTTTTTGTTGATTTCCGGCAGCCGTATTGGTGCACCAAAACAGTACACCAATATGGCATCTCCATACAAAGCTCCCCAAAGGTGCATGAAATGTTTCGTCAAGTAACTCAGAAACTGTGGGCCACAAGGACCTGAGACTTGGACAAATTTTTTATAACATTTCAATTTCTTGGCTTCTTCCACTGGACAGTTTCCAATTTATTATTTGGTTGCATGACAGTGAAAAGAATCTATAAAGAGGTTATAAAAATATGAGGATACTAAGTTCCAATAAAGACTTACCCACAGAGATCTTGTCCGCAAGTTAAAGTCCCTCAAAAAGAACTTTGTTGCAGCAGTGTCTAAAATGACAACTGCATTTCTGGTGAGTTGTACCTCCAATAACGTTACCATGCAGTATAGCAGAAACCTAGAAACATTGAAATTAAAATATGGGTTATAAATGTTCTGAAACATCACGTTGCAGTACACCAGAAACCTAGAAATATTGAATATATATATTAGGTGCGGTTACACAGGGCACTTTTTCCATGGGAAATTGCCCTTCTACCACAGGAAACTGTATTTAATAGTGTGACCGACGTTTCCCAAGGTAAGTTTCCTGTGTTAAATAAACAGGTTTCTTTCACACTGATTGAACTAATTTGTTGGGCTAGACTGATTTAGGAACAATACTTACAAAAAAAATTTGTTCTATTTCTGGCATGTAATCAAACTGCTAACTACCTCGCTGAATCATCAAGACTAACACTAACATACCAGTTGAAATTTCTGCTTAACTCTAAGTGAATTTTTAACATAACGTGAAATACTACAATCATTGACAGCGATTATTACCACAATAGAGCAAATGAAGCCGTAAAAGCGGCTAAATCAAGTTGGGATTTAATTCATGTGTAACCACATGTTGCTGTGGTAAACTAAATCCACATGAAAATTTACTACGGCTTTGTTAATGTGGGAAATGCCTTTTACCGTGGTGCGAGTAACCGCACGTATCATCTACACCACTCTAAAGGCTGGTTTCAGTATGATTGCTACGATCACTGTGATGGCTGCGATCACTGAAAAAAAGTTTAACGATCGTGGCAATTGTAGCGATCATATGGAAACCAGCCTTCAATTTGAGATTGCTCCAAATCTCTCAATTTAAGAAAAAAGTTTTCTTATTTTATGAGAAAATGTAAAACAAATCATAGGATATAAACTCTATTTTAAACAGGCAGTTTAAATCACAGAAAATAGTTCTTATCCTATGATCTGTTTTAAATTTTCCCATAAAATAAGAAAACTCTTTCTTAAATTGAGAGATTCGGAGCAATCTCAAATTTAGAGTGATATTTTCTTGGCATGGTGCAAATCATATCATGAGGTCGAGATGATTACAAAATGTTCTTACATCAAAAAGGCATCATGTACATAGCATCTTATTTAAAACCTTGCCAAGGAAGACTTCAATAAGCTGATTGTACGAAGAAAACCAAAACACTACATACTTATAATTCTAAGACATGTTCTGGAGCTGCAAAAAAAATGCAAGAAAAAGGTTTTTCTGTGGGTTTGAACTCTGTGCTGGCTGAGATATTTGACCGCCAAGCAGTGGCTGCAACCTCTGGGTAACTCCCCCTGTTACCCGAGATACTAGCTGCACTTTGTCTCCTAGCATGCTGAGGTGAACAGGAGACCAAAGCCTCCAAAGGCTAAGTTTACGGGCACTTTGATCTTTGGGAGTGCCAAGGAAGCCTCTACAGAGAACAAGAAGACAACAACAAGAACCTAGAACTAACACTGGAGGGCAAATTAGAAGAAGCATAAAGACTAAGGGCATAGCTGACACAAGTTGGCCGCAATCGCCCGTCAAGACATTCAAGAACTAAAATTTGAGAGCAACAATGGCTCGAATAAATGTAATTTAAGCAAGAAGAGCTCACAAACAAACAGGAACAATAAGGGCTTCACTGTTAAAAAAGTGTCATGTGCTAATGTACAATGAAAGGTCTTCACAACTGCAAGCCAGCGAGCCACGCAGGTCATGAGAACCATCAGTAAAAAGAAGTAAAAACTGCAAATTTACAGATTAGGAGTTGAGCACTCATTATACTGATTTGGGTTAAGTGCTGGTTAGGGTTAAATACTCAGTAACAGAAGTTAGCCTTCAGGTAATGTTTTCTGTATTACTGTTGTCGATTTTTTTGGGGGAATTTTTTCAGTGAGTCTTCAATGGACTGCATAGTTCACATGACACTTTGGCTCGCATTTTAAGGTGGTACCGGAGGCTAATTTGGATCTTTTTACCTCAAGTTTGTGAATACAAAATTGGATGAAGGATTTGTCAGACTGTCTTAAAATGTTACAGTGTGATAAATCATTATGCATAAAAAAGAAAAAAAATATTTTTATCTTGATAAGTTTTGTGGAATTCGTGGAATGTGAAGAATTTTAGGGTGTGGTCTACGTTACTATTTTGGAGCTAACCTACGCTACACTCTAACCAAATGTATATTTTTTACAGTGGAGTGGCACATTTATAGATATGAAGATAACAAAGTTTTTCAGCGCAGTGCGCCACAATATGATTTTTTTTGACAATTTTAAGGCTAAAACTTGGAAACAAATGATACCTTCATCCCAAACTTCCTCACAGGCACAATTTGCGGCGGACCAAAGTGCACTGCACTGTAAATTTTCCTCATCATATGTAGTTTTGGTTTGCCAAGTTTCTTATCTACAGAATAAATCTTGGTGGAGATATTGCTTTTTCAGTAGCATGACTTGTCGTTGCAGTACCGTTTTTTAAGCGAAAATAACGAATATCTTTGGGAGAATTCATCAGAAAAGCGAAAGTCGAGTTCACTCGCTTCGGTCGCCATCTTGTGTAAGTCAATAATACTTGGATACAGCGGTAAAACTCAAAAGAAGCGTCATATAAAGTCTAACTAAGCCGTCCTTGTTATGCAATTTTTCCCTCAAAACCAATCAGAACGGAGCCTGTAAACATTGTTACCTTTACATAGCAACGGCACCTATTATGTGGTGTCGGATACACGTTGGCGCTCACGCTGAGCTGCATGTTACGGACAATGGAGAAACAACACGTAAGTAGAGGTCTAGGAGAAGGGTCGCGGATTTCTTTCGATCTAGATAAGTTACGTTCGCTTGGCTGGGAAGTAAAAAGAAGAGAAAGTGCATCGTCTAGTAGCACAGTTGCGAAAGTGCACATAAAATACAAATCGCCAGATGGGAAAACTTTCAAGTCGGCGAAAGATGTAGAAAAGCACCTACGAGATTCTAGACAATTTAGTTAGGTAGCTGTCAGTGTTCCAGAAACTGATGAAGAACCAAGAACAAGGAAAAATTCCAAAAGAGCGTCGAAAAAGCCTGTGACGGCAGTCCTCCCTCGTTTCATTCGGTTTCGGCTTTGCCGGGCGGAGAATTTTGGCCAAGCCAGGTGGTGTTCCTTCAAATCTAAAGGAAAAGAAGCAGCGACCATTTATTTATAATTAAAAATAAAACAGTGTGATTTGCAATTTTAAAATAATGTCACTAAACTTTCATTTACCCGCTCTGGCGAAAAACTACGTTGAGCCTCTCCACTGCGTCCATCGTCCTGTAATCTTTAATCTTGCGCGAGAAAGACGATTATGTTCTGGTCAGCTTGCTCGTCCAAGGGATATCGTGTTTCATTTTGGTGATTATGTCAACACATCTGTCACCAACAAAGTCTTTGGGGATTTCTTTAGTCGCCCGAAACCACGTGAAGCGCAGTATGTCGCCTTTATTTTTCCCGCAAAATGTCCCATTAAAACAGAACTTTTCTCGTTTATATCTCGGAAACGCGTAGCTTCCTGGACTTGAAACTTGGCACACGGTCTCATTTAAATGTGATCTACCAGGTCGCAAAAAATTAAGGTAATCAGAGATGGTGAGGTTAGCCTCCGGTACCACCTTAAACACACTCCTAATGTATGAGTTGCACCCCTTTACTACATCTCATTCACTTTGCAGCTCTGTGTTTTTGTACAAAATTATTCTCAGCATTACTTAATAAGGACTGAACTGAAAAGAAACATACCATGAACACCTGATTTACATTGGACTTTTTTATCTTCTTATTACAAACACAGACAAAATCAAAATCGTCTGCTGTAATGTCCTGCAGCATTTGTTTTCCTTTCATTAAGTCTTTAATTTTCTCTCTGATATGAATTTCATCATTTCCCTAATAATGTATGTTACCATCAATCAGAACCATGGCATCTGCCAGGGTGTACACTTCTGGGCAGTTTTCCTTGTGATCCAAAACTACAACACGTTTTTTGATGAACCCTCGGGGCTGCAACCTTTCCTTTGGTTAGGCCAGTTGCCCTTGAACTTTTGAAGGGAAATCCATGTTTACCAGCCTTTGTCCTTGAACTACCTTTAAAGGCTAGTTTCCCCCCACCAGTTCTGTTAGATGTCGCAAGAGACTTCACAAGAGTTCGTGCTTTTGATATCACATCAGCCACAGGAGCTGTGGATCTAATTTGTTGTTGCTGTGGATGACCAAACACTTCATTTAAAGCCACTCTTGCTCCAGATGCTATGCAAAAAGAAAACCATTTTGTAACCAAAAAATTTACATAAAGTGTTAATAGTGGAGGTACAGTATGGCATAACAGTGGAGAAGAAGGAAGGTAATTTAATACAAAATACAAAGCCCCAGGGGGGACTCCCATATGAAAATAATGGGCAGTGTTGCTCGTTGCAAATTTTGAGTTAAACTCCTTAAGGAGATAAATCTTGGCGTGGCCCAACCTTTTTTGACCCTTAACAGAGATCATCTTAAAGGTAAATTATATGAATCAAGTAAAGAAAACGAATCCAAAAGATATATACATCTAACCGAAACAGTAGTGTCTGCAGTTTTTTACCATAAAGTTCCCATAGTGGCGACCCTTGTTACATTCAACACCCGTTCAATTTAATTGGGACTAATTGCTGTTAGCTGTTATTGCCTCTTATCAGCCATTAGAGCCAATCAGGATCAAGATTATCTTTGGCTAAGAGCTAGTCTAATGTTATCAGATAACAAACCTATTAGATCCAATGGCAAGCTTGTTAGTGAATAAGGGGATAACAGCTAATAACAGCTAATAATACTTTACCCGTTATACCCAATCACAAGTTTGTTAGAGAATAACGGGATAATATGCTACATTCCACAAGTGTGAATTTGACCCGTAAGGTAAAAATCTATTTCATGACAAGTCAGTGCATCATTCTTGAGTACGTACTGGAAGGCTGCACCTACGAAACTGTGGAATGTTCAAGAATAGAACAAGAAAATCAAAAAATTACTTCATGATCTTCGAAGAAGCATAACTTCTAACAAGCAGGCAACTATCCAACGATCTCTGTTCGAAGGTGCAGTAGAAAACTCAGTTTCTTACGAAAAGTTCTCTTAAGAATCAACATAATTACAATGCCCCCCCGAAATAATATAAATCGCTCACCTCAGGTGTTACTTCATTTTCATCTAGAAGAATATATCACAAAAAGTATCATGATGTGTATGTATCCTTTCGCATCCAGCAATGGCTTTTTTTCTTGTCTCTCTTAATTCCGGAAGTGACTTTCGTTTACGACACCTTTCAGAAGTAAAAATTTCGAGGACTTCACTTCCTTCTCTCATTTTTGGACTTGCCTCAGAGCAAAAGATATTCCTCGGAATTCTCCGTGTTCATATGAAAGGATAGCTTATGTGGGAGAGTGGGTACATACACAATAGCCCTTTCTGCTGGCGTGAACTTTGACAACTGGCTAATCAACATTTTCTGGCTGTACTCTCTTCACTATTTGATATTCCCGTATTCTTGCATTTAATCAATTTTGTATATCAAGATTTTACTCAAGTAAGTATAATTTAAAGTGTACTACATGTTATTTTAGATTTTATTTTTCCGAGCATTTCATAAAATCGTTGACCATCATGAAATGTCACTGGTAAATAGCAGATCGAGTTACTGCACCTTATTCTGCCAGGGATTTTTCATCAAGATAATACACCTAATGATTTCTTACACATGATTTTTTTTTTGCGTTGTGCTCAAAAAGCAGGCAATGACAGGAGCCCATAAATTATGGGCTCCCTAGCAATGAAAATTTTACAAAACCTCATCACAGACCTCATAGCTTCGCTTCGGCAGGCCCTGGAAACACTATCCGTGTAACTTGTGATATAATCTTAATCTGCTGGCCACACAGGCCATACTCCCTCAGTACATCAAGCTTAAAGTCAAGACTCAAGTTTTTTTGGTTTCTGTTTTTCGTTTTTTTCACTGACGGGTTTGCCTACAAAATAAGAAATAAATTTTTTTTTTTTTCTCCTTACTGTGTTACCGTAGAACAAAAAAGTAATGAATCATTTTTGGTTTGTTTATAACTTTGCTAGTGAGCTTTCTAACAAACATTTACTTGAACGAATTTCTTGAGAATAAAATATATATTGAATAAAATAGGCTTAAGAGGAAATGCTCTCTTTAGACCCCCTCTGCCTTATTCTTGGAGCACCGTCGCCTCCATTTTTCCTTTTTTCCTGCACCATGACCTGTCAGCAAAAAGTAGAAAATGAAAATTAAGTTAAAGCTCCTGACCCTTCTCCCCAAGCCAGACAAATTATTTCATTGATAACTTACAAAAACTCAAGGCAACCAGGGGCTGACAGCAGCACTGTATCTGTATTTTAGGTATGATAAAGTCTTGTCTATAATTTCTCACTATTTTGTCAACAATTCGTTCTCCTGATTACTCTACAAGTTCCGTTGTATGTCAATGGGAGACCTTAAGTGTTTTCACGGACATATTTAACTGTATTGCATTGAACGGACAGGATGATAGCATCTTCATGTGATGGTTATTTGTTTTATTTATTTGGTATTGTTTCAACAGTTCATTAATTTTGACTTTAATGCTTATTCCAGACACCCTTATTTTACCAATACTATCTATGGTAGCCTTAGAGCCCAGATGTACAGGGTTCGAATGTTGAATGTCACAATGCCTGTACAAAAAGCCCATGAAAGACCACATTTGTGCATTAAGCACTAAAACACGGACTCGCTTGTGGGAAATGGTCATTCAGGGTTTCCTCCTGTTGCATTGGTCCCGGTCGGTTGTTGTGGCTTTCTTAATCAGGCGATGCCTCTGCAATTTGTTGAGGTGCCACTCTGCTCTTTTATCCTCACTGAGAAATTTGGCAGAAGCAGCTTCCCATTTTGCACGGAATGCTTTCTCGGCAAGGATAAAAGAGGACCACCATTGCCTGTCTTCGGGTGCCAAGCATTTGCACTTTTTCATGCACGCCTCCAGGTCTTTGATCGGCAACAACTTCTTTGTACCAGGCCTGACTAGGGGAGGGATTCCCCGTGGTGTGCTGCTCAAAATGCGTTGACCAGGACCCTGTGGAAGCCACGTCTCATCACTTCCCCTTTTTTTGTTTTTCATTGGGACTTGGCCATTCCTCTTAAAGAATCTTTAAGTATGAGGGTACACGTGATTTTTTATTTTTGTTTAGGAATGGTTTGATCCATCCCTTAATATCAAAAATGAATTCTATCACGCGGACGTTTGGAACTGGGGTATAGGCTTTTTGGGTCTTCCTCACTAAAGCAGGCAACGTCATCCAGTCCTTCATGTGGAGTCGTTTTGAAATTCTACTAAAAAACTGAAAATGAAAGGGTGAAAAGAAATTTATTAGACTGCCTAAAAATGAATATTGATGCAACTGGAAAAAGTGCATGTTGCGAATTGGGTAGATTTTTTATACTTTACTTTTCATACTACTTTGTTTTAGCAGATAGTTTCAAAACAAATTCCCTTATTGTTTAGCATATGGTCCATATGTCTCTCATTGGACCAAAATTACTTGAACGTAAACGGGAAATTATTTTTGGACAGCATTAAGTGTTATCCGAGTAACAGATATTCTTTGTGCAATGGGAAATTCTAAAGAGCAGATGTATAATAAACTCGTCTACGGTACGCATTTTTCCTTACACATTACAAGTAATGAGTTAAAAAATTGTCAAGTCTACATGTTAAACATTGTCATTTAAATTTGAAATGCAAAGTTAACGTCTTCATGCGTATGACCGACCATAAGGAAAGACAAGCGAACCTGACAAGGCAAAAAGACACCAAAAAAATGTGGTTTTACAAAGAACAAAGAGAAAGGAAACTGAAGTACATACTTGAGGGCTTTGTGACCAAAGGGAAAACGTATCATGGAAATTCTTGGCTAAATTGATGGAGTTATACTATTACAGCTGACGCTGTTACTTTATAGTTGTCTTTGGCACTTGCTTCCATTTCTTTCTCTACAAGAGGCGAACAAAAGCCAAGAATATAGCGATTCTTGGATTCTTGATAACAATTATCCATCTGTAGGAATAGAACAGGGGTAAGCGTCCTTCCTAAAAAAACCAGTGAAAAACCACATAAAAACGGTGATGATGCGCTTAGTCTTCTACAATTCTTTTGAAGGTTAGTCATGGTAAGTGGAAAACAACAGTCACAATTACAAATTAGTATCAGTACCATGGTCAACGGCTTGTACTGAAACTGCTAGCAGAGTCACTTTGATCTTTGCTAGACGAGTCCGGAAAGTTTGAAGCAACTCTGTTAGAAGGGTGGAAACATGGTATAAAAGTAAGACCCAGGATTGTCAATTTTAAAATGTTTTATAAACACAAAATCATCAGTTTTCAGGGATAATTGATCGCTTAACTCAAGCACCTCAGAGAGTCCCACAAATATCTGTAACAGGACATTCAACATCAGGTTCAAATCATTTACACCGCACTTGCTCCAGATGCTATGCAAAAAGAAAACCATTTTGTAACGTAAAAATGTAAATAAAGTGTTAATAGTGGAGGTACAATATGGCATAACTGTGGAGAAGTAGAAAGGTAATTTAATACAAAATGCAAAGCCCCAGGGGGACTTCCCCCTCGAAGCGACTTTGTTGGAAGGGTGAAACGTTATAACAGTAAGACCCAGGATTGTCAATTTTAACATGTTTTATAAACACAAAATCGTCAGTTTTCAGGGACAATTGATCCCTTAACTCAAGCACCTCAGAGAGTACCACAAATATCTGTAACAGGACATTCAACGTCAGGTTCGAATCATGTGGCCATCGCATTAAGTCTATAAAGCTGAAAATTCTGCCGTCTCTATGCAAAATAGCCCCCAGTGACATGGGTTCTCAAAAAGTGATAAGCTTCATCCTATGAAGTAACAATAAGTTATAAAATAAGAATGTATTTCTTACCCTTGCGTATGTGGGAATTCTAATTCTCAATTTATCACCTTGATCATGTGTTGTTCATTCTGAACTGTTTGGGAACCATGAGGGAACAAATTTGGCCGAGCATTAAAGAAACTAATGAGTGACATAATTTTTGTGCATTTTCTTATAATTTCATAAAAGAAGTACCAGGCCTTACCTTGAAGAGACAATTTGCATGTGGAAGGTTAGTTTTAGACTGATCCATCCCGTCAATTATAATGGACAGATACTGGTCCGGATCAAGTTTGGCCTTTAAACAAGTGCTATAATATGCTCTTCTTTCAGCCCTTGAATGACATGAGAGAAAACGTTTGTGGCATAACTATTACGACAAATCACAATAACACCAATTTGAAAGGTGAAAAAAGAAGACAGATACACTGGCACCTAGACAGCTGAAAACAACCTGAAAGGGAGTACTCAAAAGTACCACCGGAGAGGCTCAGTTTTCAAAATATTGGAGAAATCAGTATAACTCAGGGAACCGAAATTCTATTGTGCAAAATAATTTGTGGTGACATCTTATAAATCAAACACGTTTGTTTACAAGTAACACAACTGAGTATAGACTTCCACTTGTTGTTCTTTGTGCACCTTTCTTCTTTCTCTTATCCTTATCCATTGTACCCCGAAGGCATAACTTTAGGGCCACACAGACACCACATTTTGTAAACTTGTTTTCCTGTTCAAAGGTTGAAATTAGTTGTCATGCAGTTGACGTCTGCAGGCAGTTAGCCTACGTGAGAAGTAAGCAAGAAAAATTTTCAAAACTTCCAATCTCTACGATATTATAGTTAGTGCAGTCTACCCGATCAAAGCTCGCTGTATACAGTGACTGAGTCTGTAAAGTGTGGATGGTTATATATCAAGCCTTATGTCGACCCTTTTTGGACTGCCATCAACTTTTATCCGTACCTTTGGTATAATCACATTCCTGAATTGTTTTTTTCATGTTCGAGAGAAGGTTGTCCAAGAGACAGGGTGCTTGCCAGCAGTTTTAAGGCCGTCAACATAGGTTACGTAAACCTCCCGTTTAGTTAAGCACGTGGGCAGACAGCATTCGTCTTTGTTCGGTATGCGATCTGCGCTATGTTCAATGAAATCTGTAAATCAAAAATTGAAATAAATTACCCTGGAAGTTGTTAATATAATATGAACAACGGAGAATAATGTTGAGTGATTAATTTAAATCACCAAACTGGGTTTAGTCGTATTGGAAAGAATGACAGTTAATCTCTGACATCTCTTAACTCATTTACTGAAAGTTACTATAGCAACCAACCATTAAACCAAGCTTCTGCTTTAAGTGTACTTGGCTTTCTCATTTGCCGGCCCTTTCTGGCCCCTCTGCCAAATAAAGACCATCTCGTTCAAATTCCCCTTGTAGACGGTAGACCCTTCAAGGAGAAGAGCTACTTTTCACCAGTGAGTTGTTCTTGCACTCATTAATTGCATTCAAGAGATAGGTTATTATAATCTGGAACTTGAACTGGAGAGCACATAGGTTTCTATTCAGTGGAGGTCAAAGGAAAAGTAATTAGCATTTTTAGAGATTAATTTACATTGGTCGGGAAATACTGTGAGCTGCTAGCCAGGTTTTTCTGCATATCTTTTTACCATTTACCCGAAATGTATACTGCCTTTTACCTTTTAAAACAACAACAACAACAACAAAAATAAACAAACTTATAATAAATAAAGTGCCTAACAAATGCAATTTGGGTAAGAGGGGCCTGTTAGACCTTGTTGAGGGACAATATTGTAATATTAAGCACAGGTCGCATGACCCTGGTCAGTTGTACGCATTAAAAACAAGTGACAAAAGGTGGAAATACAATAACAACAACGTCAAAAAATTAAAAGCAAGAAAGTGCTATACATTCTACTATTTTTTTTCCATGGAGCAACTTTATTACCTTGATGATGATAGACAAAATGTGAAGAACCTCAAAATAAAGGACCTCTGTTCTTCTTCTGGAAGTGAGCGGTAAACTTTCCTGCATTTCGAAACGTCACTTCAATCGAGGACTTTTTTTGTGCACCAGTTTTGGCAACAGGCAGTCTTTTTCTATTTCTTCAATTTCCTTCTTTCCTGGACTCGACACGGGAATGTCGGGCATATGACCTGGTACCGGGTTAGAAACATTCCTGCTCAGTTGTGCTATGCCCCTGATGATTCACAACTTAAATTTAGAGCCTTGGTGTCGATGCATCCATTGTCCCAATATACCCGGGTCTCTTAACCTTCTCTTTCCTACTCTTCCATGTTTTCTTTTATCTGCAAATTACCTTTTTCTACTTCCTGGAATTTTACACTAAAAAGTTTCAAGAACGAAGTAATTCGGGATGGGTGTTCTTGTTGTTGTTGCTGTTGTTGTTTTATTTCTTTTCTCACTTCGTCTTTTTATTGTCGATGTTTTTTTTTGTTTTTGTTTTTGTTTTTTTTTTACTTGAGTCCCCTGTTCTTTTTTAACACTCTCCTTTAATTAGAACAGCTACAATTTTTTTTTCCTTACTCTCAATGTTCTAAAGAACGAAATAATATTATAGATCATCATATTTTGTGGTTAGCAATTTATCTTCTTTAATAACAATTTTTAAAGAGGGTTTAACCCCCCCCTTTTTTTCCTCTTTTCTTTCCTGCCCATTTCCTTTTTCATTAGCTGGGATAAATTCATCCCCATGCTCCTCCCATTTTCCACTAGAACAGCAACTGGCTTTTTAGCCACTTTCAAAGTTTTAAGAACGAAATAACATTATAGATAATTATATTTTCTGGTTAGCAGTTTATTTATTTATTTATCTATTTTTTAAAAGAAGTCATGTTTAAGTAGGGTAACCCCCTTTTTTCATCCATTTTCGTTTTCATTCAGCTGGGATAAGTTCGTCCCCAGACTCCTCTCATTTTGTACGCTTTTTTGTACGTTTTTTTGCTCGCTAATTGGTCTGCTACGGAGGCTATCTGAAGTATTTTAGAGTAAGTAATCATTTACCTTTTTTTTCCAAGACCTTTCAGCTAGTACTTTCATGTGTCAATTAAAAATGCTGCAGGCATCTTGCTACGGTTATAGCTAATGGATCTATTTGCCCTAGAAACCTGTTTCCCTCGTTTCAAGGTGCTTAACTTTATATTATATTATATATTAACCCTTCAGTTCCTTTTGTTTTATTTTGCATTGTGTATTGTGTTGGACGTGGCTGCATTGCAGTTTGTTGGTCGTTCAATATCGGTGTTTTTAACTTTTAACATTTTACTTTGCACTGTATATTTGTGTTGGACGTGGCTGCATTGCAGTTGTTGGTCGCTCAATATTGGTGCTTTTTCTAACTATTTAACTGTTAACCAATTTTATTTGTTTTTATGCCTACAACACTCTCATTTACACACACCCTCCCTCCCTACCTTACCCACTATTTAGTGGAGACTTGGGAACCCTTTCATTAGGGATTCCATACCACACCTGTAATGCCACAAAGGTTGCTAGAGAAACTACTGTTTTTTTTTTTTTTTTTTTTCAAAATTATAGGATGGAGTAAAAATAAAATACAAATACAAAAATGTTCATGTTTAGTGACAAGTTTAGGAGGTAAAGGGTTGTTCAGTTCTGCTAATATTCTCTCCCCATATGTGTAGTTACCTTCTTGCTGTTCTTAATATGCTTTCAGCCAGTAGTTTAGCCTATTCCTTCCTCGTGAAACGACTGAAATATTCCAGCATTTTTTACTCTCTATCAAAGCAACTCAAAATCATCCCCAGATCTTCCCGGACAACCGTTCAAAAATCTTTCAATTTTGCTGCCCACTTGATGTCATTTTACACATTTCACAAAATTCTTCAAAATTTGGTCGACAATGGTTGAGGTCACACTAGAGAACGATTACTATGGTAAACTCAACATTGCCATAGTAAAGGGCAGCATAGGTGTGATCAGCAATTTTCAGTTTACTATAGTAAAATTCATTCTAGTTAATTTCCATGACTATTGCAGAGAGAACAAAGATGACCCATCACCGATAACCATTGGGTTTACAAAAAAAATATAGGTGGGTATATCTCTAGTTCATCTCAACTTTGTTTGTTTCGTTGACAGCTTGTCGCTATTTTTTAGGAAAATAGTATAAAAGATCATCCCATTTGTAAGAGAACTGCTTTCTTTAATCGCATGCAATACTATTAAACATAGTTAGAACGGCCAAACAGAGTTAAATTATCTTAACTAAATCTAATTGGTACGACATGGCCTTAAATATAGCAGAGTTTTTGCCTCATAACATTAACTTCACTTCGTTCAGTAAAAGAATGCTTTGAAGGTGATCTTTTTCTCGCCCAATCCTGCTTGCTGTGATATCTCCCTTTCTCCTTTTTTTTTCTGGGTAACTTTTCTTAAGAAAACAATGAAATTTGCAGGTCAACATGTCACGCTTCCAAAACCACTGGCCACTAGCGGAGTTGAAGACTTGTTTAGCACCTTTTCGATTCCTGTTCATCCATCTCTACCACCTGCTCACTGTTCTTGCAAACAGCGTTGAAGTCCACCAAAAATGTGTTGAAAATTTGCTGTTGTTCAGGTCCTCCAATGGTCCTCTCCCTTAGTGCTTCTCTCAGATACTGTTTCTTCTAGTTCCAATACCGTTCTTTCTTGCTGCTGTACATTACTTCTTCCATTTAGAAGTTCTCCTGGTCGATTCAAAAGGTCTGCAGTGCATAATAGAGTATCAGGATTGCGAGAAACATTTGTGCTGGCCATGTTACCAGTGAAGTCACCCATTTTTACCTGCTGGCACGTCAAACGCCTATCCCAAGATGCAAGTGCATTAAAGAAAAGGTTTGATGAGTCTGGTAACTAGTTCTTACTTTTTGCGTGTTTAGGAAGGGTTGCGTGCAAATGTCATCAGCAAACTCAGAGACAGAAGGGTAAAACAGCAAAGCAGAAAAGCATGACAGAACCATAGAGTGACAAAAGAAACAGGCAAGATGGTATAAGAAAATGAAAAATTGAAACAAAAAAAACGAGAGAATGGCCGGAATGACAGAACAGAACAATAACGGAACGATAGAACGTTAAAACAGAATGACAAAACAACAAAATAGCACAACAGCAGAACAGAATCATATAACGTTACATTAGGCCCAAATAACACAACAACAGAATGATAAAACAGATGACAAAACAACAAAATTACACAACATAATCGCATAACAGCACATTAGGTCACATAACAGATGGATTAAAATGTTAAAGCAGAAGGACAAAACATCATAGTAAAACAACAAAATAACAAAAGAGCACAACAGACTGTGCTCAATCGAAATATAAAACAGCACATAACTCTAGCATAATAAAGTGAAGGAATGGTAAAACAGAATATGAAGACAGGAAAAGTGAATTTTGACCCTGATAACCCCTCATAATTCTCAAAGGCATATAAGCATTCGTTAGCCCAGAATTTTCGTCTCTAGACTTGTCACAGCATCCTCGACATTGTTGGCTTGGAGGACAAAATCACAATCCACTTGCTGAAGTTCAGAATAAAGATCGGCATTGCGATGTTCCCTGCAATCCCTTAGTTGAACTTTGTATTGAAGTGGCTTAAGCTTTATGCCAGGTGATAATATCACTTTCTTATGATTGTCTTCATCAGCGTTTCTACAGGATAGCAAAGATTGAACAGGCCTGGTTTATTGTTGCAACCTGCACCATTTGAAAGGTCTTCAGTGATTGGCTTGGACATGTTTCACGTGGTAAATTAATTGTAAAGGCATCTATCTTTTTCTTCCGTTAAATAAGGTCAAAAAAGTTTGTTATTTGAGTATTTTGACCTGATGAATTTTTTCGTTAATTTTTTTATTAAAGTATATAAAATTCTCTATTATGTGTTGAGTGTTTGTTAAAAAAACAGAAGAGAGTGTAGTATGAACAGGTCGATAGCACTGTCCCCCGGATAAATCAATACCAAATTAATATTTTGTTCTAATTATCTAACTGAGGGAGCCCATTCCTTATAAGCCCGGTGGCTTCTCTTGGGCTTCCTCGCCATGAGAGTTAAGGTAATTAGATTTTATTTGATTTGTTTAATTTTTGGCAAACAAAACAATAAACAGTAAACAATGCAATTAGGTCAATATTCATATCACCCATTATATACATATCATATTTGTTTGGATAAGTTTGTGTAAGAATTCATGACATTTAAGTGTAAATTCTACCACATTTGCAGTAGGGTGTTTGTAGATACACCCAATCATGATGTGCTTTCTGTTGTTGTTGGGGTCAATTTCAACCCAACAGGACTCAACTAATGGTAGATCTATTTTCAAATCAGGTCTTGGGATGGCTTTGAGAACTTTGTCAACATAAATAGCTGCACCTCCTGCACGTGTGGGTGAATCAGTATGAAAAAATTATAATTAGGTACATCAAGATTATAGATAGAATTGGAACTCAGCCTAGTTTCTGTTACAGCTATAATGTCCAGTCTTGAGTCCAAGGAATATAACGTGTCATTTAATGGGGTCAGAGTTTTCGTTAAACTTCTTATATTGCAGTGGACAAGGGAAATACCTTTACCCTTGGTACTATTGAATATATTACTTAGGTTTGATACACTATAGTACTCAGACTGTGGATTGATAAACATTGAATCAGGGTCAGCTTCACCATTTTATCTGGATTAGATAGAAGGTTATAGAGGTCAGGTGTCATTAATTCATCAAATTGTCCAGTCCAATTACCAATCACAAAGCTTAATTCCCTGTCATCAAGATCATAGAAGGGCAATACCTGCAGTGTATTCACAACGGCAAGATTGTGTAATGACGTGTAATTCCTAAAAGTTAACAAGTTAAAAATAAAAATAATATTAGGTCAATCAACAATTGCTTATCTGGTCGCGATAATCCTCAAATTCTTAAATAAGTTACATGCGTATAGCAATGGCTGTACAGTTTGTAACCATGGGTAATTATTACACTTTCAAATATTTCTGACCCTGCTAAAAATATGTCTGTGATTCCCAGACTTGCTTCAAAATCGGCAAGAGTGCTGAATCTTGATCTCAGCACTGGGGATGATAATTAAATAACTTCTGAAGTTTCAATCACCTTCAATGGTCATAAACAGAGCCACAAAGAAATTGTATCTGAAAAGAATAAACAAAAACAAAAAACAACGTACAATGATGGATCATCACTTTCACTGCTTGAGCCCCTAGATGAATCACTGATCTTGATTGTTATTCAAAATGGAAACCTCTCCATTCTCCACAATGAAACTTGGATCGCAAACAATTGTTACCTCACTGTCCGTTGTATCAATCTCTACATCAAAACTAAAACATGAAGCAAAAAACAGCAGCTTAAAGGTCCTGATAACGATATTGCAAAGCATTTTCTATGATGAAATGTAAATGTTCATGTATTTGAGGTCATGAACCTGCAGAATTATGGCAAACAATATTAAGCTAACACGGCAGGGTTATGAAATCAGTGACGTCTTTTAGCTTGTCTTGTATAACTCACTGGTTAAAGTGATGCAAGCAGTCAATTTTAAGCCAGACATACATGATTTGCAAACAGAAATGACTGTCAAAATAGCCTATATCTCACATTCACCTATAGGGCTAGTAGGGTAGTAATACAAGCAAAGGACTACTTGTAAGATATCAAAGACAAGTTTCTCAGAATAAGGCTACGTATACATAAATGACTCATGAATAATATAATAAAACCTGCTGTTCTGTAAAAGAATGGGAGTTTTCTGTATGGACATGTCTGGGCAGGTTTAGATAAGAATGAAGAATGGCATTGTTCTCAGAGGGTTAAAAAACAATTCTAAATTTTGTCTCTCCTCATTTGCGTGAAGATCAGTGGCAAGTAAGGGCGAGAACATGTGCATTGGCAACATCATACAAGCAAATAGACCAGACTGCCGTGTCATGCAGCCCCATAGTAACTTATCAAATTGGGTTCCACAAAATTGCTAAGGAAGTCCCACAACTTTTTTCTGGCAAAAAAGTCAGATGGAAACAAGTCTTTTTAAGTCAGATCGCGACAGCATACTGAACATTTCCCCTTCGACTTTATTTTCTATGATAAAACATAGATTGTACATTTGTTAATTACTTTGCAGTATGGCCATGGTGGTGCGCGCTGAAAATTGGTCAGCTGGTACAGTTGAAAAATGGGTTATATCGCTTATCTTTTCAATGCAATGCAAAATATGTAAAGTTTATTGTCGCAAAGTCAAGTCTACAACTGAATGGCAAACTTCAGTGAATATCCGGGGGAAATCATACTCTAATCTGGAGACTGGGAGATATGATCCCAAATCTGGAGTCTCTGGAGTCCCAGATTATCCTGGAGAGTTGACAGCACTGGAATGGAGAAGATCAGACAGAAGAGCTGCCATGTGTGTAGAGAATGTAGAGAACATCTGCTGCGTCAAACAGAGGGGAGCTGCTATTAAAAAAGTTATAAGGTGACGAATTCACACAAATGGTACAAAACTAAATAACGAACAAAAAGAATTTTTTACCATATATTGCATCACATTAAGACATCTGGTAAGCCATTTTACTCCTTTCTTAGTGGAGGTGCAGGTGTAGGCAAGTCTCACCTCACTAACGCACTTTATCAGGCAGCATTAAAGTATTACAACTCCAGAGCTGGCAGTGATTTCAATGAGATTAAAACAATGCTAATAGTACCAACTGGAAAACCTGCTTATAACATTAAAGGCAGTACAATTCACAGCTCACTAGATATACCAATCTCTCATTTATTAAGAATCTATAAACCTCTTCACTCGAGCAGGCTTAACAGACTCAGATGCCTATTAGGAGGTATTAAATTGAGGTATCTGTGGTAGGTAATGCAATGTTCAACGTGCAGATAAACAACAGACTGAAAGATCTCAAAGGAAGTAAAGATGTCTTTGGTGGTGTAAGCATTATAGCTATTGGTGACCTTTTCCAACTCTAGTCGGTCATGGACAGATATATATTAAAAGATCTGGATAATTCCGAGTATGGAATACTAGCACCAAACCTATGGCAGGAGCACTTAAAGATGTTTGAGCTCAAAACATTAATGAGACAGAGAAAAAGTGAAGAATTTGCCAAGATTTTCAACCGGTTACGAGAGGGAAAACATACTAGAGACGACATTTTGAGAATCAGAGACAGAATCGTTCACGACTCATCAGCTAATAACTTAATGCAAATTCCCCATTTAGTTGTTCAGAATAACAAAGTAGATGAGTACAAAGTAAAACTACACTGTTTAGCAGCAGGTGTAAAATATACTATCAAAGCAGAGGATAGTGTAGTAGGAGCAAACTCAGCTGAACTAAGAGATAAGATCATGCAGCAAATAGCAAATGATCCTAGAAAAACAAAGCAAGTAATTTCCAACCTTAAGTTAGCTGAGGGAGAAAGACAAGAATTTGCTATGAATCTAAGAATTCAAGATGGAATGACCAATGGTACTGGCAACATTGTTAAAAAGATCAGTCAGAAAAGCCATCTGGAATAATATGGGTACAGTTTGACAATGCTGACGTCGGAGAAGAGACCCGCCAAAGTAGCAAAAATCTGTATATACAAGGTATTACGCCAGACTGGTCATCAATTAAACCAATAATCCTACAGTTGGCTACTGGTAGAAACAGAACTGCACAAGTAGTTAGAAAACAGTTTCCTTTACGCCGAGCAGCTGCTGAAACGATTCACAGATCACAGGGTGACACAGACAAATGTGGTTGCCAATTTTGACACAAGACAAGCAGTACCACACATACATTATGTTGGCTTAAGTAGAGTAACAACCATAGAAGGCCTTCATACTCAAACTTTGTGAAGACAAAATTTCTGAAAGTACAGATTATTATCAATATACAGGTAAATGATTATACAATAAAAATATAAATAGAAACACTTCAACGTTCACTCCCTCGGTTCAGGCCATCTGGTGACAGGGTTTTGCCTCTATCTATGAGGTACGCTTCTCTTGCCGTACATCATGACATACTAAGGGTGGATTGTAACTAAAGTGGAATAAGTTCCATGTCTGCAATGGTTTGGACACATGGTGAAGAACAACTTAACAAGTTTAAAAAGTACCTCAACAACATACACCCTACTAATAAATTCACTAGTGAACGCTCAACGTCTACCCCTTTCTTAGATGTAAACATTGAACTCCACAACAGTAAAATAGAAACTGATCTTTACTGCAAACCTACAGATAAACACCAATACTTACTGCACTCTTCAAGCCACCCATATCACACTAAAAAGTCTATTCCCTACAGCGTAGCACTTCGCTTACCCCGCATTTGCTCCAAGGATCATTGTTTTAACAGGAGAGATTTCAAAAATGATTTGATGAAAAAGTTAAACACTAAAAGATTTTTAAAATACACTTAAAATACATTTAAAAAAGTGAACGACGTTTCGGCGCTATGTTATGCCATTATCAAGTTGAAAAGTGAAAAAGTATAAGGTGTAAAATAGATACATAAAATTTGAAACATTATTCAGCCATCGGGAAACAGCTTAAAACAGCATGGCAACAACAGAAAAAAGACTGACCATCTTTTCAAAGTTCTGAGAAAATGTAACGGCAAGTTTGATTGCTTAGTCTACGAGATGTTATACATAAAGGACATCAAGCCATCTCTTAACACGCATGCTGACTCCATTTGTGCCAAACTATTTACGTGACACTTTTGTACATTTTTTTTTTCTCTTATTGTGTTTCTTATCTTGGGAATTATACCCATTGGACCCGCAAATATTTTATCTATTGTTTCAAATTTTATATATTCGTTTTACACCTTATACTTTTTCACTTTTCAACTTGATAATGACGTAACGTAGCGCTGAAATGTCGTCTTTTAGCGTTTAACTTTTTGATCAGATCATTGTTTTCCTTGGAAAAAGGATCTTAATGTCATTATGTCACATTCATGGCGGTCACCTCTTCATAACATTTTGAAGGAAGGAAATGGCCTCTAGTAACACCAATCACAGCAATTTTTGATACAAGGAAAGGAATAGAACATTGAAGTTTACAAATGTCACGGGGGACTTCTGAGCCGGAAAGCCAGAAATAATTTGACTTAAAGTATGAAACAGGGGGATTTGTGTTGTATTTAGTTCCAGAGTTCTGCAAGGTGCAATGGTGAGAGTCACTCTGATGAATGGTGTTGGTTTCTCTTCCGCACCTCAGGTAAAATGTCTAATCACTGAAAAGATAACCAAAATGGCTATTTCCTCAGAAACATCTCTAATTGTATATTTTAGCATATCACTATGTTTGGTTGCAGAGAAAACCAATATTGAAATGGGTTATTTTTTGTGGCTGTTTACTTATCAAAATGCGAATTAATTCTGTTTAACTTCCTCTAATTCTTCTTTACGAAATGTTATGTCTGCCTGCTGGCCACTGTTAATGACATTTCATCCATTTATATGGTCATAAATTTTCTTGTGAAAAAGGTCCGTCTTTTCGTAAGCGGTAATACGATTCCAAACTTAGCTCAAAGTTCTCTCTCAGCAAATTACCTTTTTTTTTGTAGTTCAATAAAGACACTTAAGTTCAACAACGACAACAAAGTTCAATAACAACTACATGAGTTCAGAAAATGACATAAGCATTACTAAAACCCAGTGAAAATTCAGTTTTAAACACGGTAGTTAAGCAAAGACACAAAAGTTCAAGAACGACAATATAGTTCAATAACTACTACATGAGTTCAGAAACTGACACAAGCATCAATGTTTCTTTATTTAGTTAATGTCAAGGAGGGGGCCATTGGGACTGGGA